AAACGTACAATATATAATTTCTGCCGCTAGGGCGTTTCTCACATCAAACAAACGTCATGATTAAAACAGTTTCCCCTTCAAAATCAGTGTTTATCCGATGCAGATCAGCTGACAAATGACGTCCTGGAGGGCCTGCCGGCTGAGCTGCTGCTAACATTCACTCAGCTTTTTTCTTTCTGAACGTGAGATCCAGATGTCTGATGAATAAAATCTTGAATAAAAACCACCAAGATCTAAAAAGGGTATTGTGGGTTTGAGCATTGTTGGGATAATGTACGTAGACAACTCAACAAAATATATAACATTAGTCTAGTGTTTATTGACAGTTTAATGCAGAAATGTTACATATTATATTTTTAAAGTGTGACAGATTTTTTTTTTATAGAGAACTGAAGGCGCTGTTAAAACTTTTACACTGACATAAGTTCAATTTCTTCCAGTGAGTTAAATTCATTTTGTAAATGTAATGTTCTCTTTTATTGTGCTGAAATTATAGGGTGGCCAGGAGCAGCTGAGCTTCCTTTAAAGAAAACCTGAGCTCCCCTTAAAGCAACAAAAGATTTAATTTAGGTTCAAATTATAATCAACCTCTAATCTCACAGGCTCATTCTTTGCTCACTCACAGTGATTAATACAGCCGACAGGGAACTGCAGGGTTAAAGTGAGTGAGTCATACAGTAGCAATGAACAATGTTTTAATCACCAGTGAATGTATATAAAATACATTTTAGCAGTTCTTTGTGTTTCCAAATACTCAAATTATAGCAATGAAAAACAATCAAGTAAAAACTTTTTTATAACTTGATGCCTAATTTTGATGGGGACTTTGATTTTTGATGTCTTCTTTGACACCTTATTAAATGTGTACGTTGCACTAATATCAGAGTAGTGTGGTTGGAATCAGTTCAAGTTGTCATTTCATTTGGTTGTTGGATATTCAGCCTTTCCCCCATTTGACCAACTTTCTCTGGGCCTCTGAAAAAAGAGTTTCTTTTTTCCACTTTGTATGGAATGTAACTGTTCCAGTTGAGCATTTTGAGCTGTCACATATTTTAGCTACAAATGTGATACAGAAGTGAAAAAAAGACTTTTCATGGAACATTTTTTCCAGCCGTTAGCTCTCCAACAAGAAGGGAACCAGCTCCGTTCCAGTTTAAGCATCTAGTTTTGAAGCGTTCGCTGCATTTTAACCAAAAATAAATTGGTCCGAAACCCAAAAAGTTGGTTCCCAGCTGAAACCAAAAAATAGCTGGTTTTTGTTGGGAACCGAAGTGGGCTTGGGATCTCTGAACGTCTGGTATTGTGAGACTAGCTTATCGCGTACTTATCAGTATCACTCTATCAGCAGATAAATAACAAGAAATTGCAGTCTGAAATGACAAAGATATGTGTACTGGATAAGTGAACTCATAAATAAATAAAAGAGTTTATACAAATGTCTTACTGCGCTCTGTTTTGTTTTAAACCTTGCATGCAAAGATTATAAAGGCAATAAAGTTTGTTTCAATTCAGATTTATGGAAGCACTTTTAATCAATAATGATCCAAACACCCAAACACAGTGCTGTATGTGCTCCACCTCTCCCTGTCTAGATAAGCTGTCAGGTGTAGTGTATTCTGAGTAAACACTGCTTTTAGCTCCATATCATGAATTACATCAGATCCAAGTGTCCATGATTCAAAGTGACACCAGCCATTAACTCCGCCTGTCTGCTTGTCTGTTCATGTTTGCTTCAGTTTCAGCGGAGGTGTCGCTTCGTCAGCGCCTGAAAAAGCCTCGGGGTAGGAGGGAGCATGTTGCTCTGAATACACCCCACACCAGTGGACCCTGCCTGGACTGAAGGTGGCGAGCTGATGACCCCTCCCCTGCTGCCGTCCTGCTGGACCTCTGTCTGGAGTCAAACCTTACCCTCTGTAGAGAGGGTGTAGAGGACTCTACAGCATAGCGCTCTCACTCAGGACCCTTGTCCTCAACCCTCTTTCTCCCCCCACCGCTGCAGCCTCTCCCTCTCTCAACCAGTGCAAGTGCCTTGTCACAGGATGTGTCTGTAATCTAGCCTCCCAAAACTTGCTGTTACATCTCTACTGTTACTACTTTTCCAAAGCTTTGGAAGTTTTCCTTGGGGTAACAGACAATAAACGTGGAGTCTGCCCCCGCCTGAACTAAACAGAACTGTACGGGACCCAAGAAGAGGTCAAAGCTAAGCTGTTTGTCCACTCGTTGCCAGAAATCAATCTGTTCACTATCCCTCTTCTCTGTCTTTGCTGGCGTGCATTCGGACTTGAACTTAAGACTGTTTTAGTGGTCTTCTGTCTCTCCAGCTGTGGTAGTTGTTAATGTGGCTGCTGAGTGATAGCATGGGCAGTTACATAACTTGCTGCAGGACCCTGGGTCACAGGGAGGGCAAGCAAACCCTCTTCTTTAACAAATTTTGAAATATTAATTTTGAGTAAATGTGTGGGTTTGTTTTCTTCTTTTTTTGTCTGTCAGCTTGTTTTCATCATTTCTTTGTGTTTTGTTGATACTGTTGGTATCATGGTTGTGTAACATATGAGATGTTGATTTTATTATATGTATGTGTGTGTTGACACATATGTATACACACACACACACACACATAATTATACACACATATATATTTATATTTATTTATATATGTTGTCATGTTTAAGCATGGTTGTCTGCGCAGCATCCCCAGTACTAATTTTGATTTACCAGTAGATAGTAATAGTAGTTTAAAGTCCATATTTGACAGGAAATGGGTGGAGAGGATTCCTGAATGGGTGGTTGGCGTTGAGCTTGGCTGACCGCCGCATCTCAGCTCCGTTCGACTGGCTGTCCTCGTTAATCAGCGGGTCTGATGCAGTTCAACATCTGTCGGAGGAGATCGTCACAAGGAGACAAGGGAAAGGGGGACGATTACAGTGGGCCAGATGGCCATCTGCCTGAGATTGAAGAATAGATTTGTCTCCAAAAAGTAATTTAGAAGATGGCCATAATCCAGGCTTGATGATAGCGGGGCGAGTAAGCCGGCATCATTGATGTGATAAGGAAGACGGTGGTGGCGCAGAGCACCAAACCCTCTGCGCTGTCTGGCAGATTGTTCACTATTTTTAGCCTCCAGGATCAGCACCAAAATATCCCACTCAAACACAAGTGCAGATATGTTGATGAAATCTGACCTAGCTTGTTAAAAATGTAGCAACTTAATGGCCCTGAACACCTTAACAAAAGTCTCACAATAGGAAGATGTCATGATACTACTCTTTATTTTATTTTAAGGCATCAGAATAAACCATGAATGAACGGCACTTGTGCTCAGACCATTCCTCTTTCTCCACCAACAGAAATGTTGGACTAACCAGGTCAAGGACACTCGCAGGCTGGACTCACCTTGTTGTCTTCAGTCATAAATTGGCCAGTTTCTGCAGCTGCAGCGCGTGATTTAAAGTACAGCTAATCAAAATGTACTGGAGTAATAGTACTCTAAACCGATCTGATACTGTTGACCTTGTGGAAAATATTAAAATACAATAACAATACAACCTGCAGCAGCCATATCATCCTGTCTGACAGCTGAGTTCTGTCTTTTAAAGGCTTAAAAGAGCACATAGTGGTTTTATTAAGGTCTCAGTACATCAGTTGAAGCTTCGTCTGTCTACTGATTTCAGTCACTTGTCTGTCTGTGTGGAGAGATTTCCCAGAGAGTATAAGTTGTTGCCAATGTATTTTAATGGCTAATTGTTTATGTGAATAGAAGCTATGTTTTATGAAATGAGTGGCATTGATGCCCTGTGTCAGTGAAGGCCCATGTCTGTTAGATAAATGCTGCACCACTCGATGTACTTCAGTTGAATTTGAATGTTTGAATCCCTCTGGGGCTTTTTTCTCTTTTGTTCTTTTCCCATCTGAACTGTCCGATGATTGAGAAATGACTTTTGTGGGTTTTGTTTCTTGCGCTGTGGATAATTTAGATTTTTATTGTATTTTACTTTGTCTCTATGGGTCAGATTTTTTTTATGATATGATGAAACATCAATACTTGAAAGTGTGAAACTGCTGAATCTTTGGCCTCAGGCTGTGTGTGGATGTCCCTTGGCTGTGGAAGTATTTTTGGTAGTGTACTAGATTTTTGCCATCAGTGTTGGGGTTTTTTGTTTTTTGTCCTGTTGTTTCATTTTGCTGATATGTTTCAAATTGTATTTCTAATTGATTGTTTTATCCACTCTTGCATTTTGTATTGTGTCTGAATTATTATTACTATTATTATTGGTGTAATTTCACCAGCGATAAGTAAATTCTGGCTCTGAGTTGAACCAGTGTACACGGAGGTATGCAGTAGTAACACGGTATTTTTCTTTCTGCTTGTCCTCTTTCATTTACTTGAACATTATGTTGATGTCTTTTTGTTTTGATTCCTTGTTCCTCCGTTGCTAACAGTATGCCTGAAGTGAGTCGTGGTGTACTGATTGCTCCCATGTTGTTTCCTCTTCTTGCACTGGCTTTGCCCAGATGCCTTTTCGCTGTATAGGCTACAACTGCTGATGCAATGAGCTGCCAGAAATGGCGTCAAAATGGTTTATTATCATATACAGTTTAATAAAAATCTATGTTGGCACTATGTAAAGTTACACATGCAGTTTGCTTGTATCTGTTGCGTGTGAATCTGGAGCAGGTTTTCTACTGGGGCGAGGAGATTCTCTTCCATTCCATTTTTGGAAAAGGTTCCTAAAAACTCTTTTGCCCCCAAAGTAAAAGAAATATCAGTGTAACAAGCAAGCTTTCTGTATCTTGGACTGTTTTTGCCTCCAGGTGCGGTCCCTGTAGTGGAGGAGCAGCAGAGAACACAGGAGGACAGTGTGTTTGCGTTGGACCACTCTAGTTGTCTCTTCAATTGGAAAAGTACTCTACTCCATGAAATGCATGATGATCAAGAATATTGCTCAATGAACATAAGTTAATTAAGGAAACAAGAAAGACACCAATTTT